GGCCCTTAGCGCTGTAACTCATTGCTAAGCCACTGCGCCAGAGAGCTGTTAATTTGTAACGTGTTTAAAGTTATGTAGGAGATTTTAATTGCTTTCATACGCTAAACTAGCGCATAAACTGTAAAAGGTACTTAATAATATCTACATTACAATTTTAAGTTTCTTTGATCATTTGAAAATGAAAACGTCATTTTTATTTCTGAATCGGCTAAGAGGCGAGACGCTATCGCAAAATTTGTTCGTAGCGGTAATTCCGACACTCAAATATTGACGAAGAGCCCGAGTGTGCCTAGGATTCGACACGGATTCTCGGCAAACACATGAATAGACATTTACATTAACACCCTCCTCGCCTCCCGTCCCCCCACTCCTTTCTTCACATCACGAGTCATAAAACCAAAACTATTATAAAAAAATATCTCACATTAGTCATTACTGTTATATCATAATGGAGTAAATATTCTGGACAACCGTCAAACATCGTAATTTACATATTATACAATACAATTAACATTTTATAACTTACTCTTTTAGTCAAAATGTGTTTATTTAGATGTTTGGGAAAATAATTTTAGGTTGCTTGCTGTAGACATTATTCCGATAGTGTCTGCCTCGTTGGTCTAGTGGTTGCAGTAGTACTACTGCTGATCATGAGGTTCGAATCCCGGGTCGGGCCAAGAAATCAATTATTGAGTTTTTCCGTCAAGAAAATCTCAGTAGCCGACCAGAGTCAGAAAGTTGGCGGTGTCTCACCCCCGTGCCTCGGAAAGCACGTAAAGCCATTGGTCCTGCGCCTGATTTCTCTCCGGTCGTGTCGGTTTACCGTCCCATCGGAGTATGAGAGTGAGGGAATAGAGAGTGCACCTGTACTTGCGCGTACACTTCTTGGGCACTATAATCCGGTCCTGCGCCGATGGCTAGTCTCCGATGAGGCTGGCCGCCGTGACCGAAATTCGGTCTGGAGGCCATTATTCTGATAGATTGTCTAATTTACTTACTTCATATTTTATTCGAAATGTTTTGATGATTGAATAAAAAATTAACAGTAGCTGAGTATAGGCGATAAAATGTTATGTTCGATGTGATTACAGTCATAACTTATTGCTGATAAGCAGTTATTGTTGTTATCGGTACAAAGGTATAACTGTAACCGAATATTTATCTAAGACTAGTCATAGGTAGTTCTATAGGACATGACACAATCATAAGACATGCAGTCGATGCATGCAGGTGGCTCAGGACCGTGCTTTGTGGCATTCTTTGAGAGAGGCCTATTAGCCTATATACAGCAGTGGAGTTGTGAGGGGCTGTAATGATGATGATGATGAATCATAGGTATTAACAACTTTATAAAAACAACAGGAAAAATCTTATAAATCTTAAGTATTTTTAAAACAAAGTCAATCGTCACAACCACCAGTGATACATCGACAAGTAAATCGCATAAAACTTGGTGTTTTACAAGTGCGTCAGTATTTCACACGGGATCAAGTTATTAAAGCCAGCCATATAGAATGCTGTTACCATATTTATGATTTTGCTACTCACCAACAGTCGATATGCTATAGGTTACATTTCAGAAAGTGTTTAGTCTCAAATTAATCTTAATTTTGGCAGCGAACGATTTAATATACGCTTGAATCTCAGATCATAAAAACAAGGGATTGGATTTAATCCTAACGATTTTGACGTATCTCAGACGCATACCTACTTACTTTTCACTTCATAGTTTCTTGTGAGAACAGCTAGAATTTACGATCTCTACATACGTCAGTCTAAAGTTTTACAACATATAGGTATGATAAGAATGCATTTGTATTATTAGGTAATATAGTTATTATTATTGTAATGAAGTTGGTTTCTCCGTTTTATTAAAACTAGTGGTGGGCTGGTAGGTAACTAAAAACACTGGTTCAAGCGACAATTAGGTATGTGTATGGCATTGGCAATATGAACGTTAACAATGTATTTTTTATTTAATTTAATGTATTGGTAACACATATTTTTATATAAATTTTAGCTTCCTGCACTCCTCGATATAAACTGTACCAATGCCAAATCTCACTCTTCCGTGCGTGCAATATACTTAATAAGATAATAAGAGGTAAAAAGTTTTCTATTCACGTATGAATACCCTATATAGATAATAATTTACTCGTTTAATATAAATATCTTTTGCATGTATTCAGTATAGTACCAATAGCATTTTCTGGGCTTGTCTATTGTTAACGATCCGAATGCCACGTAATTTTGGACGAGCTATTGGTCAAATATTGACCTATTATGTGGTTTAACAAAGTTTATATTCTCAAAAGAAATATATCACGTACCTAATAATAATAAAAAACTCAAACCTTTTTAATTGACTGATTAATTGGCCTTAATCTTATTTTGTTTTTGTATAATGTAATCACACTTAATGCATTTTACAATTTACATCTAAACAAAGTATTTTTCCTATTGACACATATTTACAAATGCTCTCTTTATTACTTCTGTCATTAAGTCTGAGGAACTTATTTGCCATTGCGTGACACATTTAAACACATGTTGAAAGTCTGTGTAATAGATTGGCAAGATCTGTTTATCTTTTCAAGCATCATCGGAAAACACTCCACTCCACTCCTCCGCATCCCTTACGGAATAATATTTTAGGGAAGCTCGTTAGGCTTGAATAAAGCTTTTAAAATTCAAAAAAGGGATGAAGGGATAAATTCCTTTTAATTGGGTCGTACCACTTCTCAAAATGTTTAATGAGAAAAATACAGTTATCTTTTACAAGAACATGCATATGTATTATTACACATTTATAGTCATATCAAAGTAATAGTTTCACGCCCCACCATTTTATCAAAACTGTTTGTTTATTGATTAAATAATCATCAATCATTACACCCTATCAAACTCCACTACCAAATAGTCCTTCCCATGGATTGATAGATAGAATAATAGTGTTAGCGTATTTGAGCGTTTTTTAACTTCTTGCTTTGAAAATTAGTAATTTTCAAAAGTAGGAAGTTATAGACTTCGGTCCGATTTTGATAATGCGAGTTTTCATCATATCTCCATGTTTAGAGGTCCTATGAAGCCGTTCCGAATATTCCTGGCTGGACCTTCCGACGTGTATGTGTGTATGTAAATAAAATTTTGTCGTACGATATCTTTAAAAATAATCAACCGATCGAGATGAGCGACAAGACGCGGCGTTCGTAAAGTGTTTATTAATACTTCGAGCTGACTAGATTTTCAAGTCAATCGGTCTTTTTAAAGATTTTCAAAAAACAACAAAAAAATTAATGTAGAAGCACGCGTGCTTCTACATTAATTTTTTTTACGTTGTAGAGCCATGTTGCAGCTATATTACTGGTATAGTTGTAGCACGAATGGGTCGGTTCGAACGGAAAGGACCACGGGATCACAGAATATCAGCGTAAAATTTGCTTTTTGTACTTAATGCTGTTGAGTTGCGTATGGTGAGTGTAGAGAACCGGAGACCCTTTTTACTGGAGGCATTCCATCTTAGTCCTCACGGACGACGAATCGTCACTGACGACGCATCTGCATTTTGATTCGTAATCGAAGACAAATGTAGATGTCTATGGGCCGCAACAACCACTTACCATCAGGTGGACCGTGTGCTCGTTTGTCACCCAATCCTATAAAAAAAATTATTTTCGAGCGTTGCGCTCGGAAATAAGCGGCGAAAAACTCTGAGAGACCCTGCAGGCCATTCCTGGAAGTTAGGAATGGTCTGCAGGGTCAACTGTATTTTTTTACTTTAATTATTATAAGAAACAAAAAGATTGATTGTTACTTATAACTTAACTATAATTTAAGGTTTAAAAACGTTGAAAATGAAATAAGAGTCATAAGAATAGTGAATTGGCGCTGTGGTTTGATAGCCGTCGGAAAACGCGACAGATGCGTTGTGGCTTGCGGTTATTTACTGAGGTATAACTCTTATGTTTAATTGGATAAAGGTCAATTTAAAAGTATTATGGTTTTTCAACATACAATCCAAGTAATTATGTTCATTATGATGTTTATTATTTATATCCACGAAACATTTTCGAGATTTTTTTAACCAAAAAAAAAAAAAAAAAAAAATCTGTATAAAAAAAAAAAAAAAAAAAAAACCAAATACAAAAAAAAAAAAATAAAAAGAGTGTTTTTTTAAAAAAAAAAAAAAAAAATATTTTAGAAAAGTTGATTTTTACAGTGACCACACCACCCCCCTAAATAAAAAAAAAAAAAAAGGAAAAAAAAAATATAACATAATAACTATTGGATGTCTGGTCTATAGGTGTACCTAAGTACCATTTATTTTGCAAAATTTTACAGTTTGAAAACAGCTTTCATGTTTTCGAAAGTGTAGATAACAATTTTTACAACTGTTTTTTTTTTCAAGTGTACGAATTTATGAATTTTGAAGTGTGAGCGCGTGGTGTTTTACTCCAGAGCTCCGCACTCCGGAATGATATGGGCTACATTTAAATATTGTTAATTATACAAACCAAAGAGGACAAAATACATGATTCAAACTAAACTGAGAAATGTGTCAATTAACAACGTTGTTGTTATTGTTATTAATAAATCATTGCAGTTAGTTTTACTCCTTGTCCATAGACTGCATGCAGTAGCCACTTAACATCAGTTGCACAGTAAGTCGCTTAAGTTTTTATTTTTATTTTGAAAAGTATTATACGTTTATTATGCTATTTATTATCTATACACTCCTTAAATTTACGATCATACACATGTAGAACCTACAAATATGTAGGTTTTTGCTATTACGTCAAACTTTGGATAAAAGTTAAAAGCTTCCTTCCGTATTACCTATATCCATTGAACGAAATATTTTGAATTTTGTTTTAATTTCGCTAGGTATTCATTATATTATCATTTTATGGCAATAACGAAAAAATTGTCATTAGTAAATAATTGTAAGCTACGTTGATTACGGTAACAGGAGTGCAAGTATTATGTTGGGTGACGCTCACCGGATGCCTTGCGGCCGCCACGGCAGCAGCGGCTGCGGCGGCGTTCATTGCGCCCGCGCTCGGATACATCCCCGCGTCAGACACACGCGCTCATCGTCTGTACAACACTAATATAAAACAAACAGGGCACAGCACACACTCCACTCACACCAAATCATACACTAGAAGCACGCGCGTATATCGCACGGTAAGTCACTCGCGTTTCCTTAAAAATAAAATTAACACAACGAACGTCAGCCACGCACGAAGGCTGCTAGCAAACTAACCGCCAGCGGGGGGGAACCGCCCGCTCTCCCCCGGTACCCAACCTCCTCGGCCACCCTCCGCATACCGCTGCCATACATATTATTGTCTCCACTCGAATTTTTCGTCGACTATCTTAATGTTTGAGGAATACTTAAGTGAATCAGAGATATATGTACGTTCTAATAGATCCGTATTATTTGTAGATTATGTAGACACAGAAGCTTTGTTAGCTAACTAGCTTCAATGTTTTCTAGCAATATAGCCAAGCCAAGCTTTGGCAAAACCTATTTTTTGTAACTGCATTAACGTATATTTTTCGTTAGCGCTTACATTCTAAGTGATGCCAAAATTATGCTCAACGTCTTAACACGCACTCACACACTCATCTTTCTTTTTTTTTTCTTAATTACCGGTAAAAGTACACAGCCGGACGTACTTACTTACATATAAGCGCATAAATACCATATGATTGGTTGCTAAATCGATTGATTTTATATTAAAATATAAACCACCACTCATGTTCACATATTAAATTTTAATATGTGAACATGAGTGGTGGTCTAACAATAACTTGAGCATGATCATGGTTTTTCTATACGCAGCGCCCCGTATTTACTTTTTGTTGGTCTGAGTCTAGATAATAAAAGAAATTGTTTTGAAGCTTTATCGTATTATTTTTTAGTAATTTATATAATAATTGTAAAAAATTTAAACACCGGGTTAATTAATGAAATTAGATTAAGTAATAATATACGTAATATACGCGGTAGAGTCATGCTACAGATATAACACTGGTATAGTTGGAGCACGAATGGGTCGGCTCGCCCGGGGAAGGACCACGCTCTCATAGAATACCAGCGTCAAATAGCAGCTTAACGCTGCTGTGTTTCGTATGTTGGGTGTAGAGAACCGCGGTCCCTTTTTACAGGCAACAAGGCAATCCATCTTAGTCCTCACGGGTGACAACGCATCTGCATTTAGATTAGTAATTGAGGATAGATGTGGATGTATATGGGCCGCAGTAACCACTTACCATCAGGTGTGCTCGTTTGTGACCCTTACTATAAAAAAGTAAAAATCACAATATTTAGAAATATTCTTACAGGAGTCTCAATATTACCAATTAGTCACGTTTAATACGCAAGGTAATGGAATAAAGATCATTTAACCTATCAAGAATCTGTAATATAAATGTTGACATCCACAAGATAAATTTACGTACCACGATACATTACGTTACGTTAACGTTTACATTCACTAATAATCGCATATCTGGCAAAGATAAACTTGTTGTGGAGAATGGAATGTTTCATTGCGAATTAAAAGTTTGGTGTTCGCTGCTCGCTCTATTAGTTAGCGACACCCGGTGTCATTTGTGTTTAATTCTGATTTAATTTATGATATTTTGAACAACGCATTATTATAACCATAGTTATTTTAACATCCCCCCCATGTTGACCCCCCCCCCCCCCCCCCCCACCTATTCGCTTATTTTTAAGGCTACACTTATGAACTAACAGAAATTAAACAGTAACCGCGTAAATTACCAATAAATTACATAAAAGAACTTTACATTCTTACTTAAATTGCTAAGTTTCATATGGCTAATTACGCTACGTACCTAATATTAGTATTTGTGATATAGTATTAGGTATAATAGCTAGTGATATTTCAAATCACGTAGCGGCAGCCGACGCGAAGCGAGCTTCAACATTGACATTATCATTATCATTATTGTTGCCAAACAAAAGTAATTGCTGTGTAAAAATACTGTTAAACATGACCATCAGTTGCCACAGAGTGCGATGGTCTTGTGAGTTGTAAGCTAGTTTAAGTTGTACGAAACATTTCAGATCTCGCAATCTCGCAGCGTCAGGCCGGCAAGCGGATTATAGCAGTTTTGGAGAGGCCTAAAACGTTTATTGTTTTATATTTGCATTTTATTCTACGTCATTTATCTAGGTTACATCCAACGCCACGGGGAGGTGAGTGTGCACGCACCGTGTAACGTGTGACAAAATGTTACTAATTAAAGGGGCCTGTGTGCATTTGTTAAAAAAAACGCTTTATCAATATCGTCATTAATTTATTATGTGTATTATTTGATCATTATCATTACTTATGCAACATATCCCAAGTCTACGAATAATTATACACTTTAAAAAATTAGGACTAAACATCTAGCATAAATATTAATAATTATTAGGAAATGCAGAAGTTTTTAAAAATTCGGAACTACTGTTTCCTTTGATTCTCTGTTTTGACTTCATATGTTTATCATACCGCCATTTATCAAGAGTTAGTGAGTTATAAAACCACATCAGACCTGCCGGTACGAGTCTGTTATTATAGAACGTTTTCCCCGACGTTTATCAATTATGCACTTATTTAAAACTTATTTTATTACCCTGTTCTTTGCTCAAATTATTGCTATTAATACTAAGGTAAGTTATGTAACCTAATTAATATAGGTAACAGAGTCATCTGATTAATTATGTTACAAGCAGTCACCCCGTAAACCGAGAAAGGAATACTTAATCTCTCTTTCTTGGAAATATATCCGGCGGTTGAAGATTACCATAAATTTTAAAGTCTATGCAAACGAAGTCGCAGTCACAGCATTATTAAAAATCTTCGTTTTCCTCTTTTTGTAGAGGGCTTGATTTCTTTTGACTTTGGCTTCAGTTGACAGTCCTTGCAAAAAAAACTCTTTATTGAATTCACGGCAAATATACTTAACATTAAAATTATAATTATCTCCTATGGTAAAACTTGCTGATTTTGTCATAGCGTGCACCGTGTACTCACTATGACGCAATTACAATACATGTGAAGTAAATTAAAACCAGAGTTAAACGATCATTTGGATTTGATAAGTTATCGATATGTTAAAAAAACGATTAAAAGCTACTTGTTTTATCGATTCTACAATTTGTTTTTAAAACGCAATTCGTTTATTATCATGACGCGTCAAATTAATCTTCGACGCGTCAGTTGCACTCCACGTGCGATGTAAATGATGATTCTCGGAATTTCTCTGCGGGATAAAATCCTTAACATTCCTTGAAATAGCCCAGCGGGCCAGCGGCCAGCGGATAAAACTGAAGTGGCAATAAGCCGGCCGTAGCTTGAAAAACCCACAAATGATGGGGAAAAGTTGTCGAATGGTGTTGCACGACCCCCCACTACTTGGAGTGACGAACTAATGAAACACGCAGGTAGTCAATTGATGCAGCTGACTCAAGGCCGTAACTTGCCATAAAGTTATCTATAGGGGCGACCTCAGCAATGGAATGTGAGTGTGTGTGGTGTATGATAATAAAACGGGCGGGTTTGTCTTGTATTGTTTTACGCATAGAATACTGTAATACACACATAATAGAACGGGGGGAGTGGGGGGAGCCCGTGTAGCCACTAAAATGTCATTAACACGTATAAATGTCAACACGAGATGTGTTTTGACGTTACAATCGTTTCCAAATTTCCCATGCAAATTATTTAGAAAATGCCAAATTGCACACTATTTACAAGTAAATATTAATTAAAATCTGTGTGTCAACACAGCGAATCGGGTTTGTAGTAGTGAAAATACGACGTTATTGCTTGTATGTGTCTTCCCGGCGACGCCTATCGTCGTACAAAATAAGGTTGACAGCCATTCTATTGTGTATTATAGTATTAAAATACAATACAAAACTCTTTATTGTACACCAACAAAACATAAATATAACAAATAATGAACATGGGATAAACAAAAGGCGGTCTTATTGCTACATAACAATCTCTTTCAGACAACCCAGAAGAGGAAATTAATAAAAATAAAATAAGACTAACGGGTAGAGTGCAATAAATTAGACAAAAAAAAATACAACTTATATATTATAAAATGACAACATACTTGAGGTATATTAGTGATCATAACTAAGAGGAGGAAGAGAGAGGAGTTAAAGAGACAAATAGTGTTCCTTAATTTGTTTCTTGAACACATTTAAAGATTGAGCACTTTTAATGGACTGGGGTAAGGAGTTCCAGAGTCTTACTCCAAGAACAGCAAAAGATTTATCATAAAAAGTCGAGGAGTGTACAGGACATTGGAGCGAAAGGTTTTCTTTGGACCGTAAGCAAAAATCGTGACAAGAGCTAAGAAATTTAAAACGTTCTTTCAGATAGGGAGGACTTGATTCGTTAAATAAGACGCAGTAGAGCGCAGAAAGTATATGAGTATTCCGACGAAGACGTATTGGTAGCCACTTGAGTTTAGTGCGGTATTCCGAGACATGGTCATATTTACGAAGCCCAAATATGAACCGTATACAGAGATTTTGGAATCGCTCAAGTTTATTAAGTTGCTCCTCGGTGATATTCAAGGTAACAAATGTCAGCATAGTCGAGGATAGGGAGTAGCAAAGATTGTGCAAGCGTAATTTTGGTGGAAATGGGTAAAAATTAGTTAAGCCTTCGGAGTGAAGCATAAGCCGCAAACACTTTTCGGCTCACTGCATTAATTTGGGGTGTCCAAGAAAGACTGGAATCCAAAAGGATACCTAAATTTTTCACTACTTCTTTATATGGAATAAGAATACCATTAAATACAACGGGTTGAAGTTGACATTTTTTAATTTTGGAAATAGTTCTTGAACTCCCAATAATTATAGCTTGCGATTTTGAAGGGTTAACCGTCAATCCATAAGATCGTGTCCAGTCGAGAATAAAAGCCAGATCCTTGTTGATACATTCAACAGCTTTGGCAAGATCTCCGATGGTTGTTTGTAAATATATTTGAAGGTCATCTGTATACAAGTGGTAGAGAGACGATATTTGGG